GCAAGGAGAAGGGACTCCAATGATTCACAATCATACCGATGAAACTCACAAACATCCTGTTAAGTGAAACAAGACAGATGGAAAGAGCACATACTGTGATTCCATGAATGGAAAGTTTAAGACCCCGCAAAACACACCTGTGCAAAGAGAAGTTGGGAGAGTAGCTGCCCTTTGAGAGGTAGTGACTGGGAGAGACAGCGGGGAGCCACGCAGGTGTATTCAGCGTGTGAAGGTTCATTGAGCTACGCCTTCACAAGCTGACAAACAATGCAAAGCCCTGCATGGTGCCTGGCACATAGTAGGTAATTCTTATTCTTTCCACTACACAGTGTTTCCATAGGAAAGCGTGGTTGACTGCAGAGGTTGGCAAACTTTTTCTGTAAAGGGTTAGTTATTACATATTTTCGACTCTGCAAACCATGTAATCTCTAGAACAACTTTTCACCTTTGCTGTTGTATCGTGAAAGCATCCAGAGATTATATGTCAATGCACGAGCATGGCTGTGTCCCAATAATACTTAAAAAAAATTTTTTTTTAGAGAGAGAAAGTATATGGGGGAGGGCCCAGAGAGCGGGGGGAAAGAGAGAATGCCAAGCAGGCTCCGCACTGTCAGTGCAGAGCCCAATGCAGGTTCAAAACTCATAAGCTGTGAGATCATAACCTGAGCTGAAATCAGGAGCCAGACAGTGACTGAGCCACCCAGGCGCCCCTCAATAATACTTTATTTATGAAAACAGGCGGTGAGCTAGATTTGCTGACCCCTCGCCCATGGAAAGACGGGCTGGATTCCAAAGCCTCCTTCACAGAGTCACTGCAGGAGTCTGTTCAGTCATTTCCCTGTCCCCACTTTTTCTATCTGTATAATGGGGAGCTGGTCCCTGCTCTGAACTACCATTCCAGGTGGCTCAGAGGTCAAATGAGCTCACAACTGAGGGAGCCCAAGGGAGGAAAGAGCAGGATTTAAGAGTCTCTTGAGATTCTTTGGTGCAAAGCAGATTGTTATTTCTGCCAAAGTCTGAAGAGAGAAAGCCGTCAACCTCACGCCACCCAGTGCATCCATGGGCACCAGTGTCCCAGGGGTATCCCGGAGCAAGTCAGGACCCACAGGCCTGGCACCGCAGCCTGGTCTTTGCCTCCCAGAGGCTTTTCTCTCAAGAGCCTATGGAGGAAGAACAATGATGAAAAAGGCTGGAAAAAAACGAGACCCCAGGGGGCTGTTCCTCTGAGACCCAGGGCCCTGATGCTCCCAGCTTGGGCCTGCTTTACTGAGCAGCCTGTGTCTGTGGCAGGGACGTCTCCTCTAATCTCCAGCCTTTGCTCAAGCCTTGCCCTTAGCCAGGAGTGTCTTCTGTTCTGTCTGTTTCCTGGTGGGCTTCTACTCATCCCCCAAGACATGATTTAGGCTATAGATCATCTGGAACACTCTGGGCAAATAACCCTAGTGTCAGTCGTCTGGGGAAGAGGCTGGTCTTCAGAAAGCCAAGTGTAAGTCAGAAGGCAGGCCCAGGGGCCCTTGGGTGGCTCAGTCCATTGGGGGTCTGACTTCAGCTCAGGTCAGGATCTCGTGGTTCACCAGTTCGAGCCCCGTGTCAGGCTCTGTGCTGACAGCTCAGAGCCGGGAGCCTGCTTCGGATTGTGTCTCCCTCTCTCCCTGCCCCTCCCCTGCTCACACTCTGTCTCTCTCTCTCAAAAATAAATAAACATTTTTAAAAATTAAAAAAAAAAAAGAAGATAAGCCCAAAGTAACTGGGAGTGGGCAATTCTTGCCTTTTCCTGCACCTCGTTCTCTAGGAGCTGGGCTTCTGGGGCCTAGACATGATTGGAGATAGTAACTATAATCATAGTAACAGTAGCAGCCAACATTTTTTGAGATTTACTATGTGCCAGGACCTACCACACACACTTCACATGGATTAATTCATCTAATCCTTGCGAGGACCTGAGAGCAGGCACTATTATCCTTCCCATCCTGGACAAGGAAACTGGGGCCCAGAGAGGCTAAGATTCTTGCCTGAGATGACATAGGTCTAAAGTGCTGGAGCTCTGGAGATTGTAGAAGAGCTGGCTTCAGAAGTCCAAAATGGGTCATTACTATCCTTGTTGTATCTTTTTCCTCAACTCTGAACAAAGTCCTTGTCACACAGGAGCATTAAAAGGGGAAATTGGGAGGGGAGAGAGAGAGAGAGACACCCTTTCCAAGAGAATGACACCCAATCAGGAGTCAGAGCTACCACATGGGCAATCACCCCTCCTTCGGATTCACCCAGGAACGACTCCAAGCCCTGCGACAGATGAGTGGGGGCTCGTGTGGGAAAAGATCCAGGGGAAACTGACCTGAAGGGCATTTATTGACTCACAACATTGAAAAGTTCAGAGGGAGGACTGGCTTCAGGGCCGGCTGGGGCCAGGTGCTCAAATGCTGTCCTCAGGAAGCTCACACTTCCCATCATTCAGCTCTTTCTTGTGTTCAAGTCATTCTCAGGCAAGCCTCTCCCTACCTTGCTAGGGAATTTTCTAGTGAATATTTTAGGACTCCTTTCCAGTAGTTCCCACAGAAATCCCAGGGCTGTCACTGGGCCACAGTGACTCATGTGATCATCCTTGAACCAACTGTAGCCAGGGGGTGGGACCATGTTGGTGGTGCAGCCCTGGGTTATTTAGCTGCCCCTAAGACTGAGTGGACAAGGGTGACCTCTACTGGCAGATGAGGGGAATGCAATGGGCAAACAGCAGATGTCTATTAGCCTCTGGAGGGAAATAAAGCATTCCTCGCCCACAGGAGGGGGATGGTTAAACTTGGCCTTTGAGGTCTGTAATCCCTCCTTGCTCTTGACTGTGGACCTCCATGATCCTTGTTGGCTTAGCCTGGGCTAAGACCCAGACCTGAGTTTCTCTGCCTGCCTCTCCCAGCCCACCAGCCGGGCTGTAATGCTGACACGGCCTTGTGCCAACTCCTGGTCTCCTGCTTGGCCTATCGCCCCAGCTTCCTAGTTGCTTTGCCCCCATCTCCAGTCTTGGCTTTTTCCCATCCATGCCATTCCCTGGAAATACTGTCCCCAGTCCAGCAGAACCCTGGCTCAGAAGCCTCCAGGCTATTCCTTAGTGTCAACAAGGAAAAACGAACTTCTTAGTCCTATGCCTGGACCCCCTGCACCACCTCCTCAGCAAAATACACCTCCCCTGGTTCCAAACCGTGTTGACTATCCTGGCACACTGGCTCACTTACTTGCCTACAGCCGAAGGGTCAAACCTGAGTCACTGCTGCCCAGGGCCCTGCACCCACATGGTGCTCACACGAATGCTTGCAAAGCCACATTTTCCAGCTCTTGTGCATAACTGCTCCTCATTTAATGGACAGGAGAGGAAGTCAGGCAGCTCCATAGACGGACAGGAAGCGACAAGAGACAGAGAAACCAAGAGAGACACCAAGAGAGTGAGCGCATAACAGAAACAGATTTGGGGGTCAGAGATCGGGGTGGCGGATCCACAGAGACAAGTCTGGAAGGGACAGAACTTCACCCAGGACGGAGATGCGGGCACACAGGGAAGAGAGAAAAGGGCGGCGCACAAGGGTGCCAACTGAAGCATATTTTGGGTAGAGCAAACAAAGCTGAACTTTCTCCATTAGGACTTCAGGAGTGTCTTGCGCTGAGCAATCAATCCTGGTAAACATTAGAACATGGTAAAAAAGAAGGGGGTGGGAGGCAGAGGCAGACAAAACATTTGCCTCCAGGTGGGTTGGCGCAGGCCTTGATCACTGAGACAATAATCCAGCCCCCCACCCCCACTCCCAGGCAGATCAGCCTGGGCCCAGCTTCAGGTGGAAGAGGAGGCGGTGAGACAAGCCAGGGAAAAAGAAGCCATGGAGGTAGCCTCCAGGGAGGGAGTCTGAGCTAAGAGCTAAGAGAGAGAGAAGTGCCCCAGCTGCCGGGAGCGGAAAGGGCCCCAGGAAGGTTCTGGCTCCAGCCTGGCCATGAGTCACTTAAGACAAGCCGAGACAAAGTTGGAATCCACCTCTGGGCCAATTGCTCAGAGTGCCTGCCACAGCCTCCCAAAGTCAAGGACCAGGGAGCAGGTGTGGCCTTTCCATGGGGGACCTGCCTGGCTATGTGACTGAGGCTGTGTCCTCACCTCGGCAAGGAGGTCTGCAACACCTGCACACAGTATCCAGCTGGTGCTTAATAATGGCAGCTAACATGACCCTGGGAGGCAACAGTCCCTGCGTGCAACGAGCTTAGTGTCCTGCAGTCAGGGCCACACAGTCATGCAGGAGAGGCCAGAGCAGCTGGTGAGGGACCCTCTTACCATCCATCAGATTTTACTCTTATTACTATGCTATAAAGCCACATGATGTTCATGATTTGAATTTTTTTATTTTCTGAAATGGAACCATTGTACATTGTACAAACCATATCTACTGATGGAATAAATAAGTGAAAAATTATACTGCTGTACAACACGCCAAAAAAAAAAAAAAAAAACAACAAACCAAAAAACAAAAACATAAGAGGGAAAAGAAAATTAGGTAACGGTGAAAAAAGGTCTTTATACCTCTAACCAGGTCCTTGGCGATAATGAACATTCCAAACCATGACATCGTTTGTAATGAGGTCACCACCCTATAGATCAGTCAACCGCCCTCCGGGTTCTGGGTGTAAGTGCCAGCACTTTGTGGAATGTGTAGCCGAAGCTTCCCCGACTCCGTGTGTGGCGGGGAGTAAGGTTGCCCTGGCAGCCCTTGAGGCCACAGGGCCTGGTGTCCGCGGAAGGCATCTGCTGAGGACCCCTGCCCCTGGCTCGGTCGGCTGAAAGGTCTTAGATTCTGGTGGGAGGAGGGCGAGGGGTGCAGGGTGGGGAACAGTGGCTCCGAGGAGCGGACTGCGTCAGGGAAGGAAGCACGTGTGGATTTTTGCAGTCTAACGATGCCGCGTGGAAGGCCTTCCCGGCCAGCGATGCGTGCGGGGCCACTGGCGCTTTGCCAGGCGCTTTGCCTGTCCCCGGCCACAGGCCCCTTCCTACCTTCATCAGGCACTTCAGAGAAAAACTAATGACAGCCTCAGTATCGTGGATGTTGTCTTCAGCCTCAGCCACGCTGACTCCCCTTGCCTGTCCAGAGAGGCCACAGCAAGCGGCAGGGGCCCCGGGGACCCCGGCCGACGTGGCATTCCTTGGATGCACGTGTGATTCTTCTTCAGCTGTCTTGGTTCTAACCTCTCATTTCCCAAAAAAGAAAGGAGATAAATATCCAAATTCATCTTTCGTCAAAATGGAGTTTTGCTGCAAAGAAAAAAAGTTAAGTTACTCTAGCACGAGAGGATGTGGAGGTAAAGCCGCCTTGAAGATGCTGAGAGGTAACGCGGAACACAGTTCTCCACAGAACTGACTGCCTGAGGGGTGAAACTGATAAGGATTTTGTTTTGTTTTTAAGACAGAAACCTTTCGGCATTGCGAACTTCAACATTAAGATTCTCAAAGTTTGTTGGTTTTTTTTTTGTTTTGTTTTGTTTTTTTGTTTTGTTTTGTTTTTTTTTCCCTTATTTCAGGAAACATTTTTGCATGAGGTATTTGAAATTCAGGAACATTTTGATTCTTCTCGAAGTGCAGGAAATAGATTGGCTCCCTTAAAAAAAAAGTAAGAGCCTCACCCTCAGAAACTTAGGAACTGGAATCTGGCAGACACTTCCCACGGTGGTCAGGAGAGAGATCCACACGTCAAAGGTGGTACCTGAATATACGCACCAATCAGCAAAACGAAAACGCAAACAAAAAAACCACAAAACAACAACAAAATATCCCCCTCCAACCCTCCCACCCCCTCACACAACTCAAAGGAAGTTGAACTCCAGTGCAGTAAAGAAAGCTCAGGAAAAGGGTTAAGGTCCGAGGAGTCCATCTAGGAATTAAGAGCAAACCAGGCCTCAGAACCAAGCAATCAGGCAGTTCGTCCACAGGGGGCGTCGCCATTTGAGTGAGAGGAAGCTGTCCTGGCGGAGGCAAGGACGAGACCCGGGAGGGGGACTCAGTTACCCCTTTCTGGAGGAGTGTAGAGCTTTCTGCTCCCCGGTGCCTGGTTTCTGGCCTTTGAGGCCCAATCCTCAGGGTCTGCTCCCCAGTGGGGACCGTCAGCGCATCCTGGGAGCGAGAGGCGATTGACTATTGTTGGCTCTGAAGAGTCAGGAACACTTTGTGATCTCGCCTCCGCCGGGCGGGGGGTGGGGTGGGGTTGGAGGAGCCCAGTGGAGCCGGGGAGGCGGAGGGCAGCAGGTTACTGTGGATTTGAAATCCAGGCAACACACTAGGAGAGAAAGTTCAGCACCAGCTATTCCTGCCATGTGCGCCGGGCCTCCACGGCCCTTTCGTCGTCGTAAGGAGGCAGTCCTGCGTTCTGCCACAGAAGCCGCTTCGTCTTCGGAGGTGTGGGAGAAAGCGGGATGGTGGGGGTGGAGGGTGGGAGTGCCAGGGCGACCTAAGGGTTCTGTGTATCCATCTGGGCCACGGTGGGCTTGGAAACAGCGGCCTCAGACGCCCCGAGGAAGCGAGAGCACATCCAGTGGCCCGCCCTCGGGGACAGTGTCCCAGCGACATCATAGACGCCTCGGACCTTGGACCCAGGACCCAGGCAGGGCCCAGGGCGTGCCCGACCCCTCCCCCCTGCACCTGCAAATCAGGTGGCCAAGGAGGGTCCCGCTCTTCTGAGGCCTCAGTTTCCCCTCCTCCTCGCCTGCTCCGCTCCAGCTGAAGTCCCGGGTCAGGGAGGAGAGAGATGTTGAGGACGGTGGCACCGGCTGCCTGGACAAAACCGAGGGCACTTTGCAAAGGGAGATGCAAAACAACCAGGAAAACATGCCAGAGGTCACCTCAAGGGCACAAGGCACAAAAAAAGAAAGCGGAAGGAATCGGCTGAATAGTGAAAAGCCCCGACGAAAACCGATTTCCTGATCGGCACCACCCTCACATATAGCTTATATCGTTAAATAGAGAAGTGGGGGGTGGCGGAGGGGGTAACGAAACAATACAGCAGCAACACAAATGTAATCTTGGCTTCGGAGACAGTGTGCAGACACTCCTGAGCGCTGTCAACTCCGCCTTCCCAAGGACAGTCCCTTCGAGACTCAAGTGTTTTGCTTCACAGCAGAAAGTTCTTCAGTGTCTGAGAAGTTACGCTGTTCTGGGTTTTCTTGGATTTGCACTTGGTAAACTTGGAAAGTTAGTAGTTCTGTCTGCCCCCGAGAGGAATCGCTCGGGGGAAGTTGTTCTAGAATTCAGCCTGCAGATGGGTCTCCCGGGAAGTGTGGACAGCAGGACTGAACGTGTCGTGTCTACATCTCTTCGGAGTTCTGTTGTGAGGCCTCCAGCTTCATCTTCTTAGAGGCCGGGGCTCCTTCCAAATCCTTGGGGAAGAAGAAAGGAGAACAGAGGTTAGCAGGCCAGGAGGGCAGTCTGCGCCAGCCGTGGGGCGGAAGGTCAGCCCGGGAGGAAAGTGAGGCCCACCCTCTGTGGTTCAAGCCTGCAGTTCTGACTCTGTGCTCTGCGTTCACCACGCCCTGGGTCACCTGGGCCCCGCGTGTCCCTGCCACGGTGGCCGCCCTGTGGGTCCCAAGCGCACTGTCAGCCACGACTGTTACCGTACTGCCCCATGTGGCTCTAAGCTTCTCTGTCCCCTTCACCACACAGACCGGGGGAGGGTTTCCCCACTATCAGCCCTCTGATCTGTAATTAATCGCTGCGCTAATCACTCGTACCAAGTTCCAAGTGTGCCTCTCCAAGCTCGAGGGCCTGGTCCAACCGTGCCACACGTGGACAGTGGCTTCTCCAAAGCCTTGGACAGGTGCCTGGCCTGGACGCAGATTCGGCATTTGCTGAACGCATATGTGCATTTTTCTGGGGAAAAGGCCTATAGTTGTGACCGAATTCCTAGGTCCCATGACCCAAAAAAGGCTCAGCACTCATTCTCGCACCCTGACTTTCCCACTCAGGCACCTCCAACCTGGCCCATCACCTGAGACCAGCTGTTGACCTTACCCTCGCTGCCTGCACCCCGTGTCCGTCGGGGACGCCACACCTGCCTGGGATAAAGCTGACAGTACCCCAGAGGCCTTGTTTGACCTCCCCGTGTCCCTCCCCCGCCCCCCACCTACTAGCAAGTCTCACCAACTCCATCTCCAAACACCCTTGGGCCCGCCCACCTCTCCCCGCTGCGTGCTGGCCCATCCACATTGTCCATAACCAAGCCGCCACCATCGCCTGCCCAGATAAAGCGGCTTCCTGTCCCGTGCTCTCCCTATGCAGCCTTCAACACCGTCCGACCAATCCCAAAATAGAAATCACACACGGAACACAAAACCCGCCGACGCTTTCCCACTGACTTCAGAGCAAAATCCCAACTCCTTACCGGGCTGGGAGGGCCCAGCAGCCAGCCCAGGCCTCCCCTGCACCTCTCCTCACTGTGTTCTTCCTTGTCCGCTAGGCCCCGGCCCCCCAAGGCCCCCTTTTTGGTCCTCAGGCTCATTCTGGTCTCCAGGCCCAGGCACCTTTGGTTTCCTCTGCGCAGAAAGTCTGCCCTATTTTCCCATCCTTCAAATTCCCATTCAAAGCCCCTTCCTCTGCCTACCCTGACCCAAAGAATGTTCCACAGTCCGGCCTCCCTGTTCTGGTTCTCCTGAAGCGCATGTTGGGGCCTTGTAACCTGCCCATGCCTGCTGCGTCCTGGCTGCTCCTTCCTCCCCGACCCCATGAGGAGCCCCAAGAGAGCAGGGAGGGACCCAGTCTCTGGCTCCCCCTGGGTCCCTAGTATCTGGCCTAGGGCAACAAATGTTCCATAGAGGCCCTAGACCTTGATGCAGGCTGTGTCTGAGTTTCTTTCTTTAAAAAAAAATTTTTTTTTTAATGTTTATTTTTTTGAGGGAGAGAGAGAGAGAAAGAGAGACAGTCAGAGCACAAGCTGGGGAAGGGCAGAGAGAGAGGGAGACACAGAATCCGACAGGCTCCAGGCTCTGAGCTGTCAGCGCAGAGGCTGATGTGGGGCTCGAACACTCGAACCATGAGATCATGACCTGAGCCGAAGTCAGATGCCTAACCGACTGAGCCACCCATGAGCCCCGTCTTTTTTTTTTTTTCTTTTTGAGAGAGAGAAAGAGCACAAGCGGGGGAGAGGCAGAGAGAAGGGGACAGAGGATCCAAAGCAGGCTCCATGCTGACAGCACAGAGCACAATGTGGGGCTCAAACTCGTAAACTGCAAGATCACAACCTGAGTTGGAGTCGGACACTCAAGCGACTGAGCCAGCCAGGAGCCCCTGGCTGTGTTTCCTGCGACAGACCCTGAGAGCCGGCATCCCAGGGAGGCAGAAAGAACCACCTCTGTTGGTGTTCTCTCTTGTTTTCATGAAAGTGACAGAAGTCAGATAAAGACAGAATAGCAGAAGGCAGGCTCTGTCCCTTCCGAGGACGGTGGGTCCCGTTTGGGAGAAGGTCTTTGGTCCTGCAGAACACCTGGGGCAGGGAGGAGCAGCATGTGACTTTGGGGGGTGGGGAGCCTGGAGGAAGGTGAACTGGTGTGCAGGAGGGGAGGGGAGAGAATGGGAAAGGGAGGGAGTGAGAGGAGCCACGAACTCAGGACAGTTGAGCAGGCAGAAGAGCTGAGTATTCTTCCTGACAGGGGAGGAAGGGAGGGGCTTTTGTTTGTGTGTTTGTTTTTGACACAGGAATGGCCAGATTTCCACGTCAGGCTGTTTGCTTAGCTGTGAAGCACCGTGCACCTCGCTCACAAGCCTCGGGGCTCCAGGGGCCCGCGTCTGTGCCTGTGCACAACAGCAGAGGAGACCCCCTTTCAGGTGTGGGTCCCCTGGAAATGGGAGCGGAGGCGGGGGCCATGTTAGGACGGAAGACCCCTGTACCATTCAGACCTCTGAAGGGGAGGGGAGCACAAGAACCCCCCAGGGCAGGGAGCAGAGTTTCAAGCTGACCTCTCCTCCACTGAGTTCAGGAGGCCAGGAGATCCCAGCCAACATCTGGTTTTACAAATTGTACGTGGGGCTTTGATTTTTATTTTTAATCAAATGGTCTCACGCTATGCCCGAGGTTCTGTGTCTTGCTTTTCTCATTTCACATTGTGAGGGCATTTCTTTATTGCCGGTCTGTACCTGGGTCGACCACACTCTTTTCAACAGCTACGTATGAGTCTGTTCTACCCATGACCTCAGGATTAATTTAACCAGTCCCCTTTCGACAAACTTAGGTTGTGGCCGATTTCCTACCACTGCAAACACATCTTCTATCAACACTCGTGCTGTCTCCGGACAGAACACAGCAGGGGAGAATTCTATAGGAGGAGAGGGCTGCAGATCCAAAGGCGCTCTTCTCCTTGGGGGTGCAGCTGGACTTAAGGTCTTGCCCTGCCCTTTCCAATCTTTCGGCTACTACTCCTTGTCAGTTTCTCCCACGGTCTGGAAAATAGTTTTATTAGCTGCCATTTTGATACCCCTGAGTCCCCAACTCATCTTAGGTGAGCACAGTGGGCGGACGCTGAAAAATCACAACAGTGACTTCTGAGGCATTCCTGCATCCTGTGTCACCAGGAGTGTGTTACTCACATTGTCTCATCTCGTCTGCGCCTTGGCCCCAAGACAGTTCTGTGACCCCCATTCTGGCAGCTGCAGACAACGAGGCTCGGTTATGCGGAGTGAAGGGGTTGGGGATTCGAACTCAGGATGTTTGTTCCTATCCACCGGCCACCTGCTTCTGCACAGTCTGATTCAGAGCAGATGCTCACAGACAGCGATGACCCAGTTCGGGGTCCAAGGTGGGGGAGGGGGTGTGGTCAGTTGCAAAATTCTAACGGATGATTCATCTGGCCTTTAGGATTGTGCAGACATACCGTCCCGGCTCTCAAGGAAGCGGACTTTGGGTCACTAGAGCGGACAGTGGCTTTGTGGACCCGAGTAACAAAGTGGTAAGGCTAAGGCTGGGTTAAAGGATGCTTCCTCCTTCTACACCCTGTTCCCTGAGGACAGGGCCCACGTGTCTTGTTCTGCAAGACACCCAGGGTGGGACACGGGACGCCCACAAATCCTGCTCAATGAATACAGGAAAGTTCCAATCTTCCAAGGAGAAAACAACCAAACAAAATAACAAAAACACCTTTCAACGTACCCCCGACACCCCAACGGGCTCCCGGCCGATCTGGCTGCCCCTCTGAGGCCTGGATCGAGGTACCTGAGAGATTGTGGACGCCTCTGCAACTAGACCCGCGTCTCCAGATGGCTGCCGTTCTACTTTCTCTGAACTGTTCATCGAGTTTTCCATTGAGGACTGTGAATTCTGCTCATCAGAAGCATCTGAGGGAAAAGCAAAATGACAGAAGCTGTTTTCAGACACGTGAGATGCGGAGCCAGATGGACCAATTACTAAAAATACCTGGAACAGGGTAGTTTTGTGGCCAGGCGGTCTGTCAGTGCTGCAATGAGCTGTGGGGGTAGGCCGGGAGGCCTCTTAGATTTTTTGTGAGGTCGTTTTAACCTGCCAGGCCACAGGCTGGCCCTGGGGCCCCTAACTCTTGCCTGCTCTCTCACCACCCGCCACGTGCCTGGAGAGGACATCTTGGGGCGGGGGGAGGGAAATGCTACAGGCTTTGTGCCGTGTGCGCCTGGCGCCCTCTGGTGGGCACAACGCGCTGCAACCGTCATGGCTGCTGACTCCTCCCTCTTGCATTAGAGTGTGTATTCTCTACCTGGGGAGCCCACTGAGGTACCTGCCCCTCTGCAGACATTTCTCTTAATAACATGGATACTTTCCTGATCGTCAGAGCAAGGGCTGATCATTGTGAGAAACAGAAAACACAGGAAAAAAAATATAAAGTTAAAATCAGTGATTATCTCACACCACCCACAACTATCAACCCACTAACATTTCGGAGGATTTATTTTCATCTCTCCAGATGTTTTCCCCCTACATGCATATAATTCTCTGCTCTCCCCAAATAGAGATCACACAGAATTTTAGAAAAAATTTTCATATCTTGGAAAATTCTCTAAACACAAGAGTGCACAAGATGGCTGCACGGCTTCTCCCAAGCCATCACTGATTTATGAATCCTGTTTTGCCAATTATTTGGGCTATTTCTTATGCATCAGTCTCCCTGCTCCCCACCCTCCCTGCCATGTCCCTTTAGCAGGAGGCTGCAGGCTACAGTCGGCTGCATGAGGCCATGCAGCTGTGGGAGAAGAGACAGCAGTGTTTGTACCTGAAGCTTATTTTGGGCACCGAGCAGCCGAGCTCACAGGGGGACCAGCAACATCCTGCCAAGGGCCCCATTCTGCTTGCACTCAAGGCCCCAACAACATATGTCACCCTGATTTTTCTAACGTGCACGAGAATACTCAAGAAGGCTTTATTTTCTGGGGTTTCTGAGGCAGAAAAGAAAAAAAAAATCCAGGCTTAAATTGTTGTTTTTTAAAAATTTTTTAAGCTTATTTATTTATTTTGAGAGAGACAGAAAGAGAGCAAGCAGGGGAGGGGCAGAAAGAGAGGGAGAGAGCATCCCAAGCAGGCTCCACATTGTCAGTACAGAGCCCAATGCAGGGCTCGAACTCACAAACCATGAGAGCATGACCTGAGCTGAAACCAAGAGTCGGTAGCTTAACTGACTGAGTCACCCAAGCGCCCCTAGGCTTAAGTTTTAAAGCAATTCAAGCAATGTGGAGACAAGGAACAAAGTCGGCAGCTCTCCATGGCCTGAAGCCACAGGGAAGCAGCGGGCTGGGGTGTGGGGCTGGAAGGAGGTGTAAGACCCTCCGCCCAAGGAGGCTGACCTCCCGGCACGTCCATCCCGGTGAGCTGTTGTTCACGTGTTCCCTTACCCCCAAAACCAGCTGCCCTGATCGCTGGGGGGCAGCACCGGGACACCCACCACCTGGCCAGGGCCACCTGGCTCAGGGGTCCACCTTCTCCGGGGCTGGGATCTGCCTACAAACTGGTGGACACAGCATTTAGAGACAGACCTAAGTTCCAACGGTGTGTCTGCCACTTGATTCCTCTGGGCCCCATAAGAATTACGGTTGGCAACAGGCACCCTGTGCGGTCACTGTGAGGACTAAATGGGATGACAGGGAAAGTACTCAAGTAGCAAAATAACCCGGGGAGGGGGGGGGTATAACTGAGGGATTAGCTAGGGCATAGACCCAGACTCCCCATAAGCCTGACATTTCTTTGACATTTTGTTTTACTTTTTTTTAAAGAAATATCTACCTATTGGAGCACCTGGAGGTGGCTCTGTTGGCTGAGCGTCTGACTCTTGATTTTTGGCCCAGGTCCTGATCCCAGGGTTGTGGGATCAAGCCCCATGTTGGGGGATTGAGGCTCAGCATGGAGCCTGCTTGGGATTCTCTCTCTCTCGCGCTCTCTCTCTCTCTCTCTCTCTCTCTATCAAAAAAGAAAAAAAAAAAAAAAAAGACTGGCAGCTGCCATGGGTTGGGGCCAGTGAGAAGTGAGTTTAGGGGTACAGAGTTTCCTTTTGGGTTGATAGAAATGTTTGGAACTGGACAGAGTTGAATTTCATCTCAATTTTTTTAAAAAGGAAAAACATCTCTGTTATATTATATTCTATTTGATAATACATGCTTGCTTTAGCAAACACCACTGATTGTTACTGTCGTGCTCTGGCCTGCAGACTGGACAGGAAGGTTCAGAAATCAAGGCCAGTCACCCAGACGGTCGCGCTGAGCCCCTGGCCGGCCCGCAAGCCCGTGGAGCACCGACGGCTCAGTGCAGCGGCCCGGCTCTCCCAGCGCCGGTGCTGGAACCCCCCCAGGGGAAATTATTTTCCTAGGGCCTAAATTTAGTCCAGCGACTTTGGACATTATGTCATTCCCTGAACTCACTCAGCAGTAAACAAGTTCAAAGCAAGGTCAACAGCTGGCGACCAACCTGCCCTGTCCTGCAGGCAGCATGCACCCACCTGGGAGGCCTCCAGGCCTTCCCCGTGGGGGCTCCCCACCCGTGGGGGCTCCCCACCCGGGGCGGGCCCTTCCGGGCGATGCAGGGCAACCGTGCGGGCCCAGGGGCCCGGGGTCGCCAGGAGGTGTAGTTCCCTCCTGCACCAGGAAAGCCTTCGGTGCTAGCGGGGACGGGGGTGGGAGGCGGTGGTAGTTACCAGAATGTGTCAGCTGTGGAAGCGGCTGCCCAAGCAGCGTGCGGGCAGCGGGCAGCAAGGCTGGGGGCAGGCAGGACGGCCTCCCCGCGCTCAGGCCCCTCCTCCACGGCGGGCCAGGCCGCCCTTTGCTTCCCTTCCTGCCCCGTTCCTTGTGGGGACCTGATGGGGGGCCAGGGAGCGGGGAGGCGAGTTTTACTGGCCTTGTTTTATAAAGAAGGAAACAGGAAGGCTCGCAGGAGGTGATGCTGCCCGCCCAAGGCCACACAGCCGGCAAGCGTGGGCCCAGATGTGACGGCTCGTCTTGTCCCGGGCCCAGCCCCCTGCCTCTACTGCCCTCTGCCCGCAGAGCTACAGGGAGCCCAGGAAGACCCAGGGGGCCCCTGTAGGGACAAGGGGGTGCCCCCCCGAAGGGCCCATGTCAAACCTCCTATGATGCTGGCTTTCAACTGAGGACGATTTTGCTCCTCGCTAAAGGGGGGCGTCTGGCAGGGTCTGGAAACATTTTTGGGGTCACAGCCAGGGGTGAGGGCAAGCTGGGGGGGGGGCTTCTCAACATCCCACCACACACAGGGCAGCCCCACGGCAGAGACTAATCTGTCCTCAAGTGGCAGCAGTGCCGAGGCTGAGAAACCCGCCCGGCCCCCGCCTCTCCGGAGGAAACTGTGGGTTCAACTACATAAACAGTCCGCGGTCCCTCAGCCCCACCCGCCTGAGCACAGGGGCAGAGATGCGCAGGCAAGACTCCGCGCGGGACCGTGTATGGAGAAAACAACCCTCCCCCAAAACAACCCAATGACCATCCACACGGGTCTATTTAAATGAAATGGGACACACTCATACCTCTGCGTGTATACAAAGCTGGTGAAGAGAAGAAGACAAACCTGTACGTGCTAATGTGGAACCATCTCCATGGTGATTGCTCAAGGAAGTATTCTAAAAAAAGGGAGGTTATAATCTCATATAGATTCTTCTGGGTGCACAGACTACTTATTTCAGGAGGGCCACAACACAGGCTCACAGGGTCCTTCCTGATGAGAGGGAGGACGCTAGAGGCTCCCGATGCGGGGCTGTCCAGTCTGTGACCTAACACCGACCTGTCTGTCCCCCGTGTGCAGCGTTACCTGCACCCCACCCTGCCTTGCCTACGGGCCTACCTGGCACATGAGCACCTTCCTCACGCCTGGCTGGCTCGCCCCTTCCCCCACCTTTCCCCAGGCACTGCCCCTTGGTCCCTTCTGCTTGCATCGCTCCTTCCCCTCCTATTCCTGCTCATCTTTGAAGCTTCACTCAGGGAGCACCTCCTCCAGGAAGCCTTTCCTGAACTCCTTAGGCTCCCTTTTCTTACCGTCTAGTACAGCATGGACCACAAACTCAAAAGGTCCCTTAAGGGCCAGGCAGTGCCATGAATGAGGCAGAGAGGCTGTTCAGTTCAGACAGACAGACACACACACACACACACACACACACACCCCTAAAGGAATACTCTTCTGTTCCTCTAAGTAATATGTATTTGCTCAACCCCTCAGGCTTTTACTTTTCCACTTTTGATAGAGAAATAGGTTCAAAAAGCAACTTAATTTTTCCTTTAAATGTTCAATAAGAAAAGTAACAGTGGCTGTGGAGTAGTACATGGCCACTACTCTTGGGCCTCAGTGTCAGGGAGACAATAGGGAGTGGTGGGGAGTGTGGTAACTAGTGAGGGCAGGCCCGCTTGTCCTCCCTGGAAGGGCAGCCACATCTCTGCTTTAACCAGTCGCTGCTCCACGAAAAAGCAGAGCCAGTACTGCCAGATCTTCTGATTTTCCAAGAGGTGGAAATCAGTCTTGTTTTAAGTGAAATTGTTGAAGTTTAAAATTTTGACATCAGAGGTGTCTGGAAGGCTCAGTCGGTTAAGCGTCGACTGGCTCAGGACATGATCTCATGGTTCGTGAGTTTGAGCCCCGCATCGGGCTCTGTGCTGACAGCTTCAGATTCTGTGTCTCCCTCTCTCCTGCCCTTCCACCACTCGCACGCTGTCTCTCTCTCTCTCTCTCTCTCTCAAAAACAAATAGACATTAAAAAAAAAAAAAAGAATACGAAGGGATGTGGGCAGCCCGGTTGGTTAAGCGACCAACTTAGGTTCAGGTCATGATCTTGTGCGTTCATGGGTTCGAACCCCACACTGGGCTCCGTGCTAACAGTTCGAACCTGCAGCCTGCTTTGGATTCTGTGTCTCCCTCTCTGTCTCCCCGTCTCTCTCTCTCAAAAATAAACAAACATTAAAAATTTAAAAAATATATATGTTTCAAATAAAATAAAATACGGGGCGCCTGGGTGGCTTAGTTGGCTAGGCTCCAACTTCAGCTCAGGTCATGATCTCACAGTTTGTGGGTTTGAGCCCTGCGGTGGGCTCTGTGCTGCTTCGGATTCTGAGTTTCCTTTCTCTGCCCCTCCCCCGCTCGCACTCTGTGTCTGTCTCAAAAATAAACAAACATTAAAAAAGAATTTTAAAATAAGATAAAATAAAATTCTGACATCAAATTCAAATGAAAAGTAAGAATACCACCACGCCCATGACCACACGCACACACCACGTGCTGGATCCAGTCTGTGTCCGACCTCTGAGGTGGGGGGGAGCTCTCAGCCTCAGTTTTGGGGTCTGTCTCCCCTGTTTCCTTTCCTCTGCCTGCTGGTGGGGCAGGAAGCAGGACTGAGTCGTGAGGGCACCAAGCCTCACACAGGGTGGGTGTGGGAAAGTGTGTCCAAAGGAAGGGCCCAGAGAGGCCTTCCTCCTGAGAAGGCCCGGTCCCTCCCCCAGCACAGAGAAGCCCAGCCGCCCTCCCTGTCAGGTAAGCTCAGCTGTGTGCAGGGGCTCCGCACGGCCTGCCCTCCCCTCGTCTTCCCTTCACGGATGCCGGCAAGGTCGTTGCCCCATGTGCCGGGGGTCACCCTCCAGTCCCCGCTCAGCCCAAGTACCACCTGTCAACACGTACTCCCACCTCAGACCTTCAAAATATGCCTCAATATCAGACAATCAAAACCTATGGACCCATCTTAGGTGAGATGACGGTACCTGTGATCACGGAAGAAAAGATTTTTATTTTTAAGAGACGCGTGCTGAAGTGTTCCGGGACAAGTGCTGTAAGAGCTATAACTTACTTTCTTTTCTTTTTTTTTTTTTTTTAATATTTTTATTTATTTCTAGGAGAGAGAGAGAGAGAGAGAGAGAGAGCGTGAGCAGGGGAGGGTCAGAGAGAGAGGGAGACACAGACTCTGAAATAGGCTCCAGGCTCTGAGCTGGAAGTCAGCACAGAGCCCGACGCGGGGCTCGAACCCACGAACCGCGAGATCATGACCTGAGCGAAAGTCGGACGCTTAACCGACTAAGCCACCCAGGCGCCCCTATAACTTACTTTCAAATGCCCCCCCCCCAAATATTTATAGACAAAGCAAAACCACTTAGGAATGGCCGAATTCAGCTGACATAAATGGGAGAGTACACTATTCACCTTCCTGGATGTTTGAAAGTGTTCATTTTCAAGAGTCGAGAAATCTCAAATTAGACAAAAGTAAACCGACATCCACATATAGGAGTACACATACATCCCCCATGACCAGACTGCTGCTTACCACCTTCTCTGCTGCCACCTGGGTCGCACCAGCTGCCACCCTCCTCCATCTGGATGACTGCGGTAGCCCTATCATCTGTGCTCGATCACAGCACCAAAGTGACCCTTCGGACCACAGCGCTCAATCCCCGCGGCTCCTGCCTCACTTGGCATGGAAGCTGGGTGTGGTCAGTGGCCAGGAGACCCCCCACACTCGAGGCCCTGCCTCCTCTGATCTCATCTCACTTTGTAAACCCCTCATCCATGTTTCCCCAGCCACTGAGCACACTCCTGCCTCAGGGCCTTTGCACTGCCCCTTCCCTCTTGCCCACAGTGCTTTTCTCCCACTTATCCACATGGTTTGTTCCCTTACCTAATTTTAGCCAAATCTGCTCTAAGTCGCCTTCTCAGTGAGGCCTTTCCTGGTCACCCTATTTAAAATTAAAACACTTTCCCATAATTCATCAAGACTCTCCATTTCCCTTTCTTACAGTTTTCCACAGCTCATATCCTCTAAAAACTAGACTGCAGCATTTTTAGTTGCTCAAAAGGAATCTGAGCTGGTCTAGGCATTACCCCTCTTCTAGCGTGACCTTCTAGGGGCTGGCACGGGGCAGGCCACATCAACGACTGCGGGATGGCTGGCTGAAGACAGGCCCCTCCGGTCCCAGGCCCCGAGGGCACATACCTTCGGCCCCAGGGAGCTCCTTCCCATCTGCCTGGGTCTCATCCGCCTTGGCTTCAGTGCCTTCCACAGGCGCGGCCGAGGCGGGCTCCGGAGCAGGGCTGGAGTTACTGCTGTTCTCCTGTTTGATAGGGGACGCGTCTGCTATGGAGCTCTGGTTGCTGTTGTCGTCTGCATGGGGGGGGGGGGGCGGGGGACACAGAACCACAGGGTGAAATCCGCAGCAGCTGCTGAAGAAGGGCGGGTTGGGGGCTCGGCCTCCCCAGGCCTCCCGGCCTGCAGCCCCAGAGGATGCTCTCCCAAGGAAGGGGACACTTCCCCGCCCTCGGGACCTCTGAGGTGACCCGCCCCCACATGTCCTGCGAGGAAGAGGCTTCCGGAAGCCTGCCTGACTCCCACCCGCTGGCTCGGTCCTGTGTTTGGGGGCAGCCAGCCACAGACAGCGGCCTCACACGTTTTAGGTCTTTGAGGGACACTTGAGGCCTCATTCTGGGTTGAAGAAGCCAGACTTGTGCACTTGGCTCTGTAGCAAGACAAAGGCTGAAGCACGGTCCGTGTGAGGCAACGCTGCCAACAACATTCTGTTGATCTAATCGAGTGTCTAGAGCAACTTCTACTTGATGCAAAATAAAAGGGGGAGAGGAACATGTTAGCAGGAAGTGGGGTATTCCACAGGAAATCAGCAATCAGCTCGGGCTCTTCAAGTCAAAACCATTGATTAAGAGAGAGAGAGAGAGAGAGAGAGAGAGAGAGAAGCTAGCAAGATTATTAAAAGATATTTAAGAGGGGCACCTGGGTGGCTCAGTCAGTTAAGCATCCGACTTCAACTCAGGTCATGATCTCATGGTGTGTGAGTTCAAGCCCCGCGTCAGGCTCTGTGCTGACAGCTCAGAGCTTGGAGCCTGCTTCAGATTCTATGTCTCCCTCTCTCTGCCCCTCCCCCACTCATGCTCTGTTTCTCTTTCTCTCAAAAATAAACATGAAAAAAAGAAAAAAAAAACCAAATGAATAAACATTTTAAAAAATTAAGAAACTTAACAACTAAATAGGACATGTGAAAATTAGATTCTGTTTTGAACGTGCCAGATTATAAGGGACATTTTGGAACAATTGGGGAATTTGAACATTTGAATATCTGACTATAGTCTGGAGTTTAAAAGACACCACAGAATAATTGTTACTTTTGTTAGCGGTAAACATGGCGCACCAGGTGTATAGAAATGCATTTATTAGTGACACATGCTGATGGGTTTAGGCATGGATTTCAAACACAAGGCGGGGAAACTGATTTTAAAAGACTTCAGTACAGGTTGCCTACGTTGTCAGAATTCCCTGAACTTAACACTTAAGAGCTGTGCAATTTTTATACGTAGATTACATTTCAATTAAAAAACTTAACACATTAGGGGCTCCTGGGTTGCTCACTTGGTTAAGCATCTGACTTCGGCTCAGGTCATGATCTCATAGTTCATGAACTCAAGCCTGGCGTCGGGTTCTGTGCTGACAGCTCAGAGCTTACAGCCTGTTTCAGATTCTGTGTCTCCCCCTCTCTGACCCTCCCTGGTCTCTCTCTCAAAAATAAATAATTATTTTTAAAAAATCTTAACACATTAAGGAAACAGATGAGGAAACATGGCATGATGTCAGTAAAAACCTAGGCAGTAGGTGAATGAAGTTCCTCACACGGTTCCTCCTACTGTTCTCTGATACTAAATTTTTCATAAGACAAAGAAAAAGGAGAAGTTATTTGGGCAATGGCATTAGAGGCTGAGCTGGTGGGCAGAGGTGGGGATCCAGAGGCACATAGCCCCTGGCCCTGGACCCCGGCTTAGGCGCACAAAGTCACGTTAAATTCCAGATTCCCAAGTGGTGATTTCAAAAACATTACCACACTGCTTTTCTGGGCCATGCTGCACAGCTGGGATCAAAGCCACTTCTGTAAAACAGACAGCGAGAAGGAGGGACGGAGCAGCACACCAGCACATCCTGGGCACCTACCTACCACGTGCTGGGCAAAAACATTCACAGCTACCTCATCCTCCCGACAACCTGCAGGTACGTGCTCTTACCTCCCTACTTATAGAGGGGGAAGCGGAGGCTCTGAGCGGCAGAGGCCCTTCGTCAGGCTGGTCTGAGTCACTCTAAACTCGACCTGCTGGTGAAGCACTAGGGAGTCACACAGTCCCAGCCAGGTAAAGTGCATCTGAATTTTTTAAAATTATTTTTTAATTTTTATTTTTTAAGTTTATGTATTTATTTTGAGAGAGAGAGAGAGCAAGCACCAGTGGGGTAGGGGGTAGAGAGAGAAGGAGAGAGAACTCCAAGCAGGGTCCATGCTGTCAGCGCAGAGTCCGACGTGGGGCGCGAACTCACAAACGGTGAGATCATGACCTGAGCCGACATCAAGACTCAGACGCTTAAGCGACTGAGTCGCCCAGGCGCCCGGCATCTGATTCTAAGTGTACTCATTACAGAGTAGTCTCTTGTGAACTCTGGGACTAAAAAAAAAGTGCACTCTCTTGACTTACCTTTCAAGAAAATCTAAACTTCCTGTGACGAGCGATGTGTGCATGTGTGTCAAGAGGCACAGAAGGCAGAGGCCCGACCCGTGGGTCCCAGCGTGAAGTTATGTTAATTAATGACAACAAGCACTAATGGTTAACAAGTCAGTGGCCTGAGCCTAGCCTGGTCACCTGGTGACCACATGATGCTGACACGCGAGTCAACATTGGTGGGATCCCCGACACTACAGAGGTGGCTGCAGGTGGCCCCTGCCCCCACGTGGAGCCTTCCAGGTAATCCTGTCCAGGCGCACACGTTTCCCTGTCTTTGTACACATACGTGTCCTGCGGCTAGACTTGGTCTTGGCTGCACAGAGACTGAAATGAAAGGGATACCAAGAAGGTGAGCAAGGCTCCTTGCGTCAGGGATGCTTGTTCAACATTCCAGATTTTTCTGGAGCATGAGCTCAAGCTGGTGTCCACACACTTGGATTCTGCCTCCGAAGGACCTCAAAGGCCAGCACTGGCATTTATGAGCATCCTGACCCCGGGCAAGCTGCGTCACCTGCCTAAGCCTTCATTTCCTCATCTGCACAACGGGGCTTGTTTGCAGGGTGAAACGAGGTAAGGCATGAAATGGGCTTAGCTACATGCTTGGCACATTGTGACATTGTGACAGCTCCTTAAATGTCAGCTACAAACATGTGAGGCTTTTAAGGGATTATCTTATTCAATACTTACGATGACCTTAATGACCTTATTGACCTTATGAAGGAGGTGTTACCCTTCCTATCAGACAAACTGAAAACAGACCTGAAAGGTTATGAGTTCTGTTCCGAGCCCAGGATCACAGGGCTATGGGGAGATCTCAGGGACTCAGTTATGAACCCAGGTGGGATCTTGTCCTCTGCTCTAAAAGGCTCTCACCTGTGAGCCAGGATGGGGGTTGGGCGGTGTGCATGCGTGTGAGGGTGTGTGAAAGTGTGTGTGTATGTGGGGCGCCTGGGTGGCTTAGTTGGTTGAGCGTCCGACTTTTGCTTAGGTCATGATCTCGCGGTTCGTGGGTTCGAGCCCCGCGTCGGGCTCTGTGCTGACTGCCAGCTCAGAGCCTGGAGCCTGTTTCAGTCTGTGACTCCCTCTCTCTCTGACCCACCCCTGCTCACGCTGTCTCTCTCTCTCTCCTAGAAATAAATAAAACATTAAAAAAAAAAAGTGTGTGTGTGTGTGTGTGTCTTCTCAATCCCTAGAGAGTGGGGATCTAACCAATGCCAGGGAGGCAGGTTATGTCCCACCTCAAATACCTAGTTCTGAAACGGAAATGATTCAACTATGATCGCACAGCCAGTAAGGGGCTTTCTTGAGATGTCAGCTGTCAGCAAACCCCCCTGTGCTTTTTTTTTTTAACCTAAAAAGAAATTTTTTTAATATTTATTTTTGAGACAGAGAGGCAGAGCATGAAGGGGGATGGGGCAGAGCGAGAGTGAGACAAAGAATCTCAAACAGGCTCCAGGATCTGAGCTGACAGCACAGAGCCCGACATGGGGCTCAAACCCACAAACTGTGAGATCATGACCTGAGTCGAAGTCCGACACTTAAACGACTGAGCCACCCAGGCGCTCCCCCCACCCCATGCTTTTCTGAAGCCAGGTCAGCAACAAGCCAGAGTTCCTGCCCTTGGATCTTGCGACTGTGTTTTCCAGACGGGTTGGTCAGTTTGGGCAAGTGGGGAAGTTCAATTCCATTCCTTTCCTGGAGCACGACAGCCCTGGAGTCAGAGGGGCAGAAACTCGATCAAACCAATATTCCTTTTTTATTTACTTATTTATCTAATATCACCCTGGTGTACAAAAGACTTGGGTTGGTATAAAGGACAAAAACATCAATACTGGGATCGAGAGATGCGCCTGCGTGGCTCAGTTGGGTGAACATCTGACTCTTGGTTTTGGCTCAGGTCATGATCTTGCAGTTTGTGAGTTTGAGCCCCTCGTTGGGCTCTGTGCTGACAGCTCGGAGCCTGGAGCCTGCTTCCGATTCTGTGTCTCTCTCTCTCTCTCTGCCCCTCCCCTGCTCATGCTGTCTCTCTCTCTCTCAAAAGTTAATAAACAGTAAAAAAAAACATTTTTTTAAAAAAGGGTAAAACAGGAGCTCAACACCAGCAAAGTCAAAACAACTAGAGGCTGGTTAAAGCAGGTCTCCAGCCTGGACTCAATCAGACAAGTGCTTGGCTGTCATTTGCAAAATAAGGCAGCAAAGGAAGTTAGGATATCAATGTGGAAGGCAGGTCCCTGGGTCCCAGAGTGATGACACGATGTCAAAAATCCAGTTTCGAGTTTCCCAGCAGCCAAAGCAAAACGGGAAATGGAAAATCTAGTCATTTTTGTGGTATGCCAGGCCTCGGAGGGGGAAAAGACCATATACCCCCAAAAGGTGCCTGAGTACACAGGGCTGACAGGTGAGGCCTGGGTCACTGGGCGAGAAGGTCTCATTTTGTGTCTCTGGCTGGTTTTACGTTTCTTGGCTTGCTGTGCTGGGAAGAGAAGTTTCCTCTCCTCTGCTGGGCCTTCTCCTGGGCACACAGAGGCCTCCTGGTGCCACCCAGCCCTCCTACCCTTGCCTGGAATGTGAACAAACCTGCTGGCGAGAACAAAACCTCAGCGCTCTGCCACGGCCCAGCGCCCCGCGGGAGAGCTCACCGTGCATGTCCATCATCCCCGGGGAGGAGCTGTTCTCCGGAGTGGTCACCTCTGAGCCGCACTTCTCATCTTTGCCCTTTTTCTTGTTCTTGTTCTTCTGGAGGAGAAAATGGAGCAGAAACCAAGTCACCACATTGTGCGTGCGTGCGTGCGTGAGCAAGCCCCCGGGGATGATATGAATATTTTATTCAGCTGGTTCATCTTGGAGCCTGCAAGTCTCTGGAGGGCTCTCCTTGGCCTGCATTTGAACATGTCCCATTAGAGGCCTCACCTGCAGAAGGGAGGATTCTGCGGCTGGGCTGGGGGGCTGGGAATAAAAAAACCTGCCTTGTTTGTGGGCTCAGCATCAGCAGGCGTGCAAACACCCTGGCTTAGAGGAATTTCCTCCACCTGCCGGGAGAACATCTGGGGAAAAGGCCAGAGTCACCCTGCCCAGAGCAGGTACAGTGATGCCAGGGGAGGGATGGCGAAGACACAGGTCACACACTTTTGCTATCTGTAGGCCCCGGGGCTGCCTTTCTCGAATAGTCAGCTGACTCCCAGAACCACACTGGAAGGCCAGGTGAGGAGGGAAATCCCAGGGAGGAAGGAAGGTGAAGGGGGTGCTTTCTGTGTGCAGTTCTGTTTTGGGTTTTTTGTTGTTGTTGTTGTTGTTGTTGTTTTATTTACAAATGGAACAGAATTATGTTGGAAATGACCTGTGTCCACTGGTAAGAGACTCATTATTATGGCATATTCTTTCAATGTAATGCAATGCAACATCTACAGAGAATAAGGCAGCTCTTTGTGTCGAATGATCTACAAAAATATTAGCATACTGGAATATCTCAGTATCTTCAAGATGCGTACAAGGAAGGTTCCAGAACATGGGAGGGGAGCACTACTAATGGAAAGAAAAGGACACGTAAGCCCGTGTCTGCACATGTGTTTGCGTGCACTCTCTCTGGAAGAATAAACAAACACTGGTCACCTCCAAGAAAAGGAGCTGGTGGTGTGGGGGGCTTGCACAGGGATGCGAAGCAGATTTACACAAAGATACGTATGTATTTGGAAAAGGTAGCATTTGAGGACCATGCATACCCATCGAGATGGGAGGGTAGATTAGTGGATTCCAGGACCTTGGGGCGGGGCCAGGAGTGACTGCTAACAGGTGTGAGTTTTCTTTTTGGGGTAATGAAAATGTTCTGGAACTACAGCAGTGATGGTTACACGGCAGTGAATATACTGACACTGACTTGTATACCTTAGAAGAGGGAGTTTTATGCCATGCGAATGGTCGTTGTTTAAAAAACGTTTTTAAAGTAATATTTGAATTTTGTAAAATGGTTTCCCTACTTAAAAGAAAACAACTTTCAAGAGTTCTGAAATTAAACAAAAAAGAAGACAGGGGTGCCTGGGTGGTTCAGTCAGTTGAGCACCTGATGTCGGCTCAGGTCATGATCTTACAGTTTGTTAGTTTGAGCCCCGCATAGGGCTATGTGCTGACAGCGCAGAGCCTGGAGCCTGTTTCAGATTCTGGGCCTCCCTCTTTCTGTCTGCCCCTCCCCCGCTCACACTCTGTCTCTCTGTCTCTCAAAATAAATAAGTGTTTAAAAAAAAAAAAAGGTGCAACCATGTCACAATTGGTTGTTTATAAAAAAAAGAAAAAGCTAACCCTCCACAATACAGGTTTCTGGCACAACCACTAGAGATTCCGATTCAGCTATCTGGGGTGGGGCCCAGGAACCTGCATTTCTTCAAGATTCCCAGGGGGTCAGATGCTCAGCCAGGTGTGGGACCCATTGCCCTAGAGGGAAAGGGGGTGGGGGAGACCTCGCATCATACATCATGGCTCAGAGACAATAGCAAATTAGCATTGTTCAAGCTCCGTCTGCACAGCCCTGCTGGCTGGGTTAAGTTCTCTCTGTTTGATATATTGTTCTTACGCTGTTGCAGAAGCCTCGGGAGCTAGATATTGCTGCTCCGCTGCACAAAAGAGGAAACTCAGGCCCAGCAAGTTGGGGTCACCTGTCTGGCATCATAGGCCAATCAAGGGTAGCCTGTCCCAGACCTCTGTGCCCAGCTTGGAGCTGCCCTGTCCTTCCAGACAGCCCATATATTACACTTTCTCCTTGATCACTATCCATCTTGGCACTTCCCTGATGTCTGTTTCGTGCTATTCTATAATTATCTTTCCCAACGAGATTATAAATTCCTTGAGAGCAGGGACCATGTCTTCTCAAATGCACCGGCGTTTATAAAACACCTAATGATGTGCAAGGCACAGACGTGGGCCAGAGCCAGAAGCTGCCTTCGAGGAGCCGGCTGCACCCTGCTCTCTCCCCTCTGGGACAGCCAGCACCAAATGCCGCCATGAGCTAGGTCTCAGGACCCCTGGGGAAGGCAACCCCGGTGGCTCCATGAGCCCAGGCCAGAACCAGAAAGGGGGACAAACACCGGCGTTCTCAGCCCAGCACCAACCTGCCCAGAGGTGAGCAGGTGATCACAGGGTCAAGAATGGAGCCTCAGCCGTCTGGAGATCCCAAAACAAGTCACTGAATATGGTGGGAGAGGCTCAGCCCCACCTCTAGGGACCCCTAGAAACCCACCAGTCACGACCACGTCACCCCAGACGTATATGGCTTATTGTGGGCCATCTTCCTGGAGGAGGGGATTGTTTGCACCAAGAGAGAAGGCGCTCTAAGCAGGAGGAACAGTCCACGCCAAGGTCTACAGGATGGTGGGAACATTCTGGATGTTGACTGGAAGTACGAGTAGCTGACCTGGGGTGTTTGGGGGTAACTGGCCCAGGAGGCACAAAGCTGAAACCCTATCTGTGATGTGGGGCAGCAGGTGGCTGTCTGCAGTCCCTGGGGGAGATGATGCACAGCTGCTGGTGCTCCCTCTAGTGGCCTCCTCTCCAGCACCGCCCCCCCCCGCCCCCCCCAGCAGGGGCTGTGTTCCCTCTCACTCAGGGTGGCCAGCAGCTCCAACTGCCAGAAGGCTCTCCAACAGCAAAGAGAGCATGCGCTTTGGAGTCAGACAGCCCTGACACTTGCTGTGTGATTCTGGGGAAGTGGCTTCACCTCTCTGAGCCTGTGTCCTCGCTTGTCCAAAGGGGAGAAAGACAGCAACTCCCCAGAACTGGTACGAGAAGCACGAGGCACTGCCTGCCAGGAGGTCAGGTGCTCAGAAACAGCGGTGCTACGACGGTGGGGTAAGGCCTGCTTGTCCGTGGTGCCCTGGGCACTAAGGCGCACCCTTGCTGGCAAACTGGGGGGCCCTCAGTCCAGAAGAGACGACTTGCAGGGGACACTCCCCACCTCTCTGATGGCCAGACTCTGCAGCTGGACTGTGAGTGAGGAGGACACAGGTGCCTCTCCAGCCCTAAGCTGGGTCCGGGTGCTTCCCAGGTGGCCTTGGCCCCAGGGCTGCACACTGGTGGGCAGTGGCGGACAGCGCCTATTCCCTGCGGTGGGCAGGGCAGGACAGATGGTGGCCCGACCCCAGGGAGCCAACCCCGCATACTCACATCATCCACCTTTGGCTCTGTCACAGGGACCCACTTGTAGATTCGCAGGGATGTGTCACCCACAGTCACCCACTTCTTCTCCCTGCAGAAGATGAGGAAGAGCCTATTACCAAGGGGTTTCTGGGGCACAGGCTGCATGGCCTTGGAGCAGTTGTGACCCAGGGGCTGGTCAGCCTGGGGTTAAGGGAGTGAGTTCCAAGTCACTCCAGATCTAGTAGCTAGGGGCCCCCCGGGCAAGTCACTTCACCAGTCCAAGCCTCAGTTTCCCCATCTGTTGAACCACAGAGAGTCATTAATCTCTCCAGGCTGCCAGGAGGATTGTAGGAGACAGCACGTGTTAGAAACTCCCCCTATGCCCGGGAGGACGCGCCCGGTGACACGGGTGCTGAGGGGCTGCCATTCAGGAGGACTCCTCTGGATGACGCGACTTGGGCCCCAGAGCCCTCCGGCTTTTGCCCCACAGCACAGCCCACTCTGTGGAGTCAGCGAACTGGCCACCCCGACCCCTGGGCAGCAGAGAGGGCTTTAGGCCAGCAGGGCATTTCTTTCTGCGGGGGGCGACGCAGACCTTCACCAAGGGCACCCAGGGGCTCACCCTGTCCTCCCGGCAATGCCTCTGAGGCCAGGGGAAGGGAGGCAGGAGCAGACAGAGTGAGTAACCACCCAGGGCTCTTCGGGGCAAACGCCATTTGGAGCGGCCACAGGGGAGTGTGGAGCAACGGCAAACCTGCACGGCCAGCACCCTTGGACCCGAGGGTGGTCCCCAGGCCTCGACAGGTGGCTGTGAGGCAGCAGCCAGCCAGAAGGACGCTCCGAGACCTCACTCCCCGGTTCTAAGATGCGCACGTTTCTGGGTCTCCCCTCCTAATACCCACATCTGCACACCGCCCCCACCCCACCCCCACCACATCCTGAACTCCTGGGGGACCGCGTCCAGGGTGGGGAGCAGCTACTAAAAGCAGGTTTATGGGTAAGGAGAAAATCACAAGCCATGAGAAGAACATGGGGTGACTGGTTTTCATTAAGGATAATAATTAACACCCTCTCCTCCTCACCACTCGGCCCCAAGCCACCATCACTCTTGAGGCACCCGCCATGGCCTCCAAACTTTGGTCCCTGAGCCCTGCGTTTGACACATGAGGTCAGGTCACTTCCCGGCCCTAACACTGGGCATGAGAGCCATAGGCCATGCACCTGATACCGAGGCTCAGAGGAAACTTCCAGAAGGAAAGCTGGGACTCCCGAACCGAGCAGCTTGGGCTCTAGGGTCTGCGTTCCTGGCACCAGGCTCGGCCATCTGAGAAGTGGGAGGTCACAAAGGATCTCTCAACTGCTTGACGAGGACCTTCGCTGGTTCAAGGAACCTACCGTGGAATGACAGGGACAGATGCGCACCAGCTACAGGCAGCAGGGCAGCCAGAAGCCCTTGGCAATTTTAGTGACGAGGGTTCCACCAGAATGGAGATTTATGTGTGACGTGAGCACCTCCATTTGGGAGCCACAGGCACCTGCCCAGCCTCCCCTGCACAGGTGGGTGGCCTTCATGTGCTGGTGGGACCCATTACAGCCATCTGGCACCCCTTTACCACACTCAAAACCAGCAGACCCAAACCACAGACATCTCCAGGCCCCAAGCTGTGTCTGTCCGGGTCCTGCATGCTCCCTGCCGGAAGAAGCCACGGTGGGGCTTTTATTTATTCTAGGACTATTTCTAGTGCTTTCTATGTGCTAAGCCCTATACACGCTCACTCTAATCTTCCGATAACCTTGTGTGGCAGGAACACTCACCTTCCCCATTTGACAGATAAAGAAACTGAGGCAGGAGGCAGTGAGGTCATTCTCTCCCCGAGGCCGGTGTTCAAAGCCTCTACGTGGCACTACTTTTAGGAGAAGCTTCTCTGGCCACCATCCCTGCCCTTTTTAGCCCAGAAAGAGGTAAGTGAAGACACATATCTAAGTCACCAGCCACCCATCTCCTAAGTCTTGGAAGCAGGAGGGACGACCCATAACCCCCGTCTTTCCCCATGTCCACTCTGAAAAGTCAGAAGGTACCCAGAAGGGACAGGGGCCTTCCAAAGAACAGCCCTGGTGACAAAGCAACAATCGTAACAGCCACTGTGTGAAGGCTTACTTCTGCCAAGTGCTTTATTTCCAATAAGGCCCTCTCCCCCAAAGACTGCCAACAAGCCTACGAGAAGGGAACTGGTGTCATTCCATTTACGGGTGGGAAACAAGACGCCCAGAGAGGTTACATAACTAGTTCATGGTCACACAGCTAGTCTAAGGTAGAGCGAGGACTGGACAGGCTCTGACCTTAGAGCCCACTCTCTGCTGTTCTGTCTCCTGAGGAAAACTAAGAAATCATTCCACCGAGCACATCAGTGACAGAAGCTGGGTCAAGAAACACAAATTGCTAGAATCACGTGCAAACGGCCAAAGGCACTCACTACTCACAGTCCCTCTCAACTGGCTTCCTCGGCCTGGGCCCCAGTAGGTCAGCAAATCCAAGGTTTGGTTAAGAACAAAAGTAACTGACTTGCAAAACCTATGCCACATCTTCAGGCGAAAAGTGGGCCAGCTGCGGGCTCTGTGGCCTACACATGAGCCGTGACGAAGGTCTCGAGTCTCATGCGCTTCCCTGAGCAGTTGGGGGCCCTTACGAGCTGACAGCAGCCAGGTTCTTGTGCTTCCCCCTACCCCAGCTGGTGACCCCTTGCCCTGAGTACCCCAACTCACCCCAAAGATTAGAAACCTTTCTTCAGGGGCGCCTGGGTGGCTCAGTCGGTTCAAAGTCCAACTCTTGGTTTCGGCTCAGGTGGTGATCTCACGGTTTATGAGTTCGAGCCCCACATGGGGCTCTGCACTGACAGCCAGAGCCTGCCTGCCTGGGATTCTCTCTCTCCCTCTCTGTGCCCCTCCTCCACTCTCTCTGTCTCTCAAAATAAATAAACTTAAAAAAAAAAAAAATCTTTCTTCAGTTGCATTTCTCCTGGACACTGAGGGGCTACAGGACACAGAGAAAAGCATTAAGAACCCACCCTCAGGAAGTGACCTCAGGAAAGGACTGTCCTTTTGCTCAGTGGGCCAAGCAGGGACACCAGGGCTGGGAACTCAGGGTGTCAGTCACGGAGCAAGGACCAGGGAGGACAAGAGGGGATTTCACAGACATGACCAGTGGGCTCTGGGGCTTTCCGCAATCCGGCAGCGCCCTGGGAAACACCACATGGGCTCAGGGGAGCAGGAGTCCCTGTTAGTTTCCCAAACCCACCATCCCAGAGCACGCTGCCCCCACCCTCAATGCGACCAGGAAGCTGTACTTACTACCTTATATATGGGGCGGCGAACAGGCGGCCCACAGGTACGTTTTGTCTGGTCTACATGTGGATTTTTAAAATGTGAATCGCTTGCCAAATTCTAAGAAGAAAAAGTCAGACTCCTCATAAAAATCCAGATTCCTGACTACTCTTGCACACATAGTGACTTGGCCACAAGGGCCCCACGTGCCGCAGAAGAAAGGGCTCCCTCGGACCCCCAGGACTCACCCCCACCCCCATAGGCATGGGTCCAGATTCACCACAGCCAGTAGGCTGCACCCCCCACCTTGCCACAAAGCTGCCCGTGGGCACACCCTGAGCCCCGGGTCACCAGCCAGGCTTAAGTGCCTCTCAATTCCCCTCCAGACTTGGGCTTCTAGACAAAAGGGCAAATGGGGTCCCAGCTGTGGCAACAAAGCTCTAAATGCCCCTTTGCCCCCCACCCCCACCCCAGGACATGTTCCCATATAAATTGCAAGCGCCCATCACAGATTTTCTAGGCCAAGGTCAATTTCTAATGTTTTCCTGGGTGTGGGTCCAAGAGCTAGCCAAGGAGACCATCTTGGAGTCAGTGGCCATGGGGGCCCTGGTGACTCCCTCAAAGATACCGTGGCTCTCTCACGTCGTATTCATTTCCCAGGGCTAGTCCTTGATTCCTTCGGAGAATGGTGTCACCCTAACTAGGCTCAGGATCACCTGACCTGCCCTGCACCTGGCAGGAGGGTAGCCCCTAAGGTAGTGAGCTGAGGCCCTAAACATGGTCAAACTGCCTCCTCCCCCAGGGACCGGTGAGAAGTCTCCAGGGAATAGGCCTCTCTCTCTCTCTCTCTCTCTCTCTCTCTCTCTCTCTCTCTCTCCTTCTTCATTAGATCACTGAGGGACCCTTCAGACCAAGGGCCCGGGGGTCTAGGGCCCAAGCCTGCTTTGTGGCTCAAGCTTTTGTCTCCTGTCCAACGACCCCCTTCCCCTGCCCTTCTCCACCCACACAGGGCCTCCTAACTCTGGCCCAGTTTCCCAAGAGGGGCCCACCATTTTGTTCTTCCAGCCACCTAGTGGCTGCCTCAAAGCCTACCAGCCTGCTCTGCTGGGACACCACCCAGGGGAGGAAAACAGGCTGGCAGCGAGGGACAGGGTGGTCACGGCTGGCGGCTGGCTTTTTCTGGGGACAAGAGAAGGGAAGGGTTGGCAGAGGCGGGATTTTTCGGGGTCACCAGGGCTGAGAAGAAATACCACCCTATGCTTACAGGCTAACTGGTATGACAGACACCTCTGTTCTCTGGATAAAATATAGGATGAATTAAATACGAATTTCAGATATATAACAGTTTGATAGAAGTACGTCCCACATAGTGCATGGGACACACTTACACTAAAAATTATACACATATATCATTCATTTTTTAAAACTTATTTCATTGTTTATCTAAAATTCAAATTTAACTGGGTGTCCTGTAATTTTATTTGCTAAATCTGGCAACCTGATGTCCCAGCCACTAGTTAAATGCATGGTTGGTGGCCACGCAGTTAATAAACAACTCAACGCCTCAAGGGCTGAGTGGAAGACCTATTCTAAAGGTGCCGTGGAGGTGGAGGTGAGATTCGGCTTCTCCGGGCTGGGGAAACTGTGGAAATAAGGCAAAGTCTTTTTTGCTTAAAAGGGGCAAGAAAAAAAACTCAGCCAAACACAAATTTTATGGAGTCCACCTTACAATAAGGGCACATTAGTGACTGCTCCTAGAGGCAGGGGTGAGTGCTTTCGGAGACATGATCTTGTTCCAGGAGAAAGCAGCAAGGGACACCTTGCTGCCATGCTTTAAAGGAGTTCCACAGTTTGCCCAAGGTCACAGCAAGGAAGCGAACTGGGGGTGCAGCCGTGAGATCCTTTATCAACGGCCTGTTTCCCAAAACACAGCGAGGGAGGGAAACATGTTCTTCTCCCCTTCCCCCACACACCCGCCAGGCCAAAGTGGGCTCAGCAGCACTGACGGCCCCCAGGCTGGCTGTGCCAGCGGCCACGGGGCAGAAAACCCCACGGCTCCATCTGCCCTCCCCAAGGACCAGCTGGCGGGTCTGCCTTATAGGAGCAGCTGTCAGGGTGCCTGCGCCCCTGCCCCTCTGGAAACCTGGAGCAGAAGGGCCCACCACGCCCCTCTGAACAGAGAAAGGCGCCTTGCCCCCCGGGCCCCTTTCTCACCTCCAAGCCTTGACAGAAGGGACACTGGTTCTTTCTTTGCACGGGCACTAAGGCAGGGGATGACTCCAGCCTTCCCTCTGGGAATCCCACAGGAGAGGGAATTGTGGGCTTGTTTTCCTGTGTGTTTCGGCCTGCAGCTGTTTCTGCCATTTTTAAATGGCTCCAGTTGGGCAATGGGCACCCTGTGTGCCCCGGGAGCTCCCACGGCACGGAAGACTTGCATCTCAACTTTGGAAGGGCTCCCCTTCTCACGGTTCTGAAAATTCTTTGTCCCATTGGAGCCAAACCCAGCCCTTGGCCGGGCATCCGGCCATCCGCAGACAGCCCTTTCCATAGGAGGCCCAGGAGCACGTGGACTTTATTGATTTTCCTCTTGCCTTTTTTTGTTGGGTTTGACTCAGAGAGGACAGCTAACTTGTGACACGGCTAGGCTGGAGGCTCGCCCCCGGTGGTTTTTAGAGACCAAGGCGTTACTCGAGAAATGACACCCCTACACATAAACATACCCCACCCGGGGGCCTGCCCAGCTTTCAGTCTTTAAATAAAGGGTCGGGACAAGCCCGCGGGGGCTGACACTCGCGAACGTCGCGGCTGCTCCTCTCCCTCCCTGACCCTGGTGCAGCCGTGGGAAAAAAATAATAAAGTTGAAACCAAGGAGCCGGGAGTTTTCAACAAGTCTGCCCCAACCTGGCGATGTGCTGGCGCCTGGGGCCTGGCCCGCGGGCCGATTCGGAGCCAGACCCCGACGAGGCCGCGAACGCGGTGGGTCCCCATTAATTACAAGGCCACGCCGGACAGACTCCAACCTGAGCTCGGAGAACGCGCACCGCCAGCCCCGAATCTCCTCTCCCCCGCGCAGAGAACAAAAACAACGGCTCTCCCGGCAAAACAAACACGAGCCGCTGCTCTGGGAAGGGCAGGCGCGGCCGAGGACCGGGTTCTGGCCAAAAAGATCCGCCCGCCGACCCCCGCGCGCGGGCGCCGGCCGGGCAGGGCGGGCTGGGCGGGGGTGCCGGGCGCCCCGGGCCCGCGGCCGCCCCGGCGCTTTCTCCTCGCGCTCGCCCCCATCTTTCTTCCTCGCCGAGAGCCCTCGCTCCAGGCAGCCCAAAGCGCTAAATTTAAACGGCTCGCGCTCTGCAAACTCCGCAGACTCGAGGGCGCCGGGCCTGGGAGGCGGGGAGCGAGCGAGCCAGCCAGCCGGGGAGGGAGGCGGGAGGGAGGCCCGGCGCGGGCTGGGGCGCGGGGGCCGGCGCTGCGCCGCCCGGGGCGCGCGGGGAGGAGACGGAGACGGCGGCGGCCCGCTCGGTGCCTGCACAATGGAGCTCGCGCTCTCCCCTCCGCCGCCGGCATCGCGGCCCCGGCGCGCGGGAAGCCGCTTTCATGTGACTTGCACAAAACGAAATGGCTTCTGGGGCCGGCCCCGAGCCCCCCTCCCGGGAGCCGGGCGCCGCGGCGGGGCCGGCCCGCCGCTCCGCCGCCCGGCCCGGGGCGCCCCGCCGCCTCCAGGCTGCCGCCGCCGCCGCCACCGCGCCAGGTGGGCGACAGGCGCGAGCGCACCTGGGCAGCGACCGCGGCCCCCGCCTCGCGCAGGTGACCCGGCTCGCGCGCCGCCCGCCGCTCCAACTCCCGGGCCCGCGGCCGGCCCGCGGCGCGGCGCCCGCCGGCTTTTTGTATGTGCTCCGGGGGTCTGGGGCGGCCGCGGCGCCGGGCGGGCGGGCGGGCGGGCGAGCAGGCGCCTCCGCTTACCATTTGCGCACTTTCTCGATAGCCGCCATGACCCTCTTGATATCATCTTTGGCGCGGCTCCTGGTCTCGGCTCGAACCGACCTGCCCGACATGGTTCTGGCGGGGAGAGAGAGGCTGGGGGAGCGCGCCCGCCGGGTCCTGCTCGCGCTCCGCGGCGGCCACACTCGCGCCCGCCCGCCCGCTCACTCACTCACACACTCACACACACACTCTCTCACACACTCACACACACTCACACACACACACACAAAGCCGGAGCCGCCGCGCGCCCGGGGCCCAGTGCGCAAGCGCCGGGCGCCAGCTGCACCGAGCAGGGGGAGCAGCGCCGCCGCGGCCGCCAGCAGTGCGGCCTCCGGGTGCCGCCGCCGCCGCGGGCCAGCGCCGCGACCCCCACCCCCCACCCCGCCCTCCCGGGGAGGCGCCCGCGACCCCCCGCTCCCCGGGGAGGCGGCCGGGGGCGCCCGGCCACCCCCGGCTCGGGGCGCGCGGAGGGGGCGCCCGGGAGCGGGGACACCCACTCGGAGGCCGCAGGTGCCGCGGGGTCCCCCCGGGAGGGCGCGCCGACGGGGCGGCCGGCCGTGGAGGGGGCGCATTCCTTGGGAGCCAGTCCGGCGGCTGGTGCGCTGCCCCGGGTGTGTGTGCAGCGGGTGCAATAATGCAAGTGTCCTGTGAGGCTCCTGACTTCTCAGAGTTGAGGGCGGCGATTCGGGGCGCGAGGTGCTCCTGGAAAGAGTTGGGAAACGCGGGTCTCTGCCGGTCCTCTGCCCCGTGCAAACACGCGAGCTAGGACGTCGCTTCCCTTTCCCCCTTCCTTTGGGAAAACTAGAGCTGAAGGAAAGATGTCGGGGGCGAGGCGACCGCGAGACAGTCGACCCTATTAAATAGCTTTCCGCGCAGGAAAAACTCAGCGATTATCAGCATTTCAGCAGGGGCTCTTCCTTTCCTTCTGCGGCTGCTGTCAGAGAGCCACGATTTAAATTGAAGCCACTCCTCACTGAAGTCCCAGGCTCAGACCAGGTGCTGCTACCTCACGAGAACAAATGACCCCAGCAGGTGCAATGGGCCTGGCCGGCCTACAGGGAGGATTTTGAGGTAGCTTCTTCCCCATCATGTCTCAGGACAGCTCTTGGAAGAATCTACCATGGCCGGATAACCCAGGTGCCTCATCTCTGTGTTCAGCTGCCGCTCAACCGACTTGACCAGAGCTGATCCATGCCCAGATGGACGCTAGGGAAAACGAGGGTGACCCTGTTAGCAAACCCAGACCCTTGGGGATAAACTAGCCCAACACAAGTCATTTTGCCTGCAGGGAAAGGAGTCCCGGGAAACCTCAAGGTCGCAGCCATAAACTAGATCCCAGAGCCCCCACTCATTCTAGAACCAAGCAGTTACCCCCTGAGATTTTGGTTTTGGGGAGAAAAGCCACTGGAGAAATGGGTGCCTAATAAGAAAAATAAGACAACACTTACCTTAGTGAATCATTCTGAGCATTATATCTAGGAAAATACGTCACAGCAGGTCATAAAACAGAGGTCTCTACTGTTGGCCCTCTGATGGCTTAGAGCCACAAAGAACTCCTGAATATATATATTTGAAAAAATAGGATTTCTGGGGTGCCTGACTGGGTCAGTCTGAGGAGCATGCGACTCTTGATCTCTGGGTGGTGAGTTCAAGCCCCACACTGGGTGTAGACATTACTTAAATAAATAAAACTTAAAAAAATAAAACAGGAAGATGTCAAACATTCAAATATCAACTGATAAGTGGATGTGTGTATATCCACCCAATAGAATATTATTCAGCTGTTGGGAAGGAATGAAGTATGATCCATGCCATGGCATGGATGAACTTTGAGAACATAGTAAGTACAAGAAGTCAGTCACAAAAGAACAAATATTGTATAGTTCTACCTACATGAGGTACCTAAACTGGGGAAACCAATGGAGACAGAGCAGGTTGGCGGTTGCCAGGGGGTGGGGTTGGGGGTGGAGGAATAGAAAGTGACTTCCAAGGAGGTTGGGATTCCTTTTTGGGATTATAAGAAAGTTCTAGAACTAGATAATGGTGATTGCTGTACAGCATTGTGAATATACTTAAGTGTGCTGAATTGTACACCTTAAAATGGTTACAGTGGTCAGTTTTATGTGTATTTCACCACAATAAAAAGAAATAAAAATATCTGGCTTCTTCAGCAATAGCAGATCTGTAAACTGGTCCCCCAGGGCCACATGGTAACAATGCGCTGGAGCGGAGGAGCCCTGTGGCCCTCAGACAAAGCTCTCCAGGTCACCAGTGTGTCACCAGGTCACTTTACTCCTTGGCATTACCAGATGGCCCCCGATGGTATTTGTGTTCTTGATCTCTGATTAAACTATAAAGCTTTCTACAAGTGTTCTTTATAAATCTAGTACGCCTCTTTTATACTTCCCTGTCCCCTGCAGATATTTTTAACCTTTCTTTCAACAGAGCACAGTTGTTTTATAGTCTGTGTCTGATAATTCTAATATTTGAAGTATCTGAGGGTCTGTTTGTCCTGGTTCTTGCTCATGGTGTCCTATTTCCTTGTGGTCTGCCTGGTTCTCTTTGACCATGCTGGACACTGCATTTTAAAATTTATTTATAGGAATAATTTGAGGCCTAGGATGAAGTTCCCTTCCTCCAGAGATGATTTACATTCGCTCCTGCCAGGCTCCTGAGGGCAGTGCTATTCCAGGACTACTTACATCCAAGCTCAGGGCTTATGGGTCCCTGGACCACCCTGATGATGCAAATATAGGCTGCCCTATTGAGCAAGTCTGGTTGGCTTATCATACCCTGGAGGGGGGATCGTGGGGCGGGGTGTCAGTGATGTGAGCTGCTGGCTGACAGGCCTGCACTTCCCAACTCTGAGCTCAGTGACCCCATGTTGATGGTTTGAAATCACTGTGGCAGGAGTATTTACACTATGGAAATTGAAAAATTCTGTATATCAGGATCCTTTCCTCGACCCCGCTCAGAGCTGGTTGGTAAACATTTACCAGAATACCACTGGTGGGGCCCAATAGGGTCTCAAATTATTTTGGGAAGGTCTCATCTCCCACATGGACTTTTATTTCTGGTCTCTTGCCTCAAAAAGCCACTCACACTAGAGTTCAAATATGCTAGACTTGACAAAGCTCTCAGGGTTAAAATGGCTTCTTTGCTGGCTTCTCTTTTCCCTTCCATTTCAGCTATTCCTTACAATTTAGACTATTCCTTACCTTTAGATTGAGAGTTCATTTGAATACCTACCTAGTTACTAGAAACTGGATGTCAGGCTGTCTCTGAATGTTAGTTGTTATTCTAGAGATGTTAAAAAAGAGATCATAGGGTTACAGAGGTGAGTTACTTAGTTATGGCTTCTGTCTTTACCTCTCTGTGCCTCATCTGTAAAATGGGGTGAAAATAACACCACCTGCCTCATGGAACTGTCATGAGAATGAAACAGTATTTGTCAAGCACTTAGAGCAGTGCTTGGCATATAGTAAGTGCTAGAGACTGGAGAGGATTTGGTAAATAAAGGACCTGGATGATCCTTTGCATCTTTATGACCCATGCTAGGAATGGAAGTCCAACCACCCCTCTTTCTGGGCTACTAAATTCAACTCTTAATCCACTGTTGCACAGGGAGGGGATTTGAGGAGGTTTCCACCTCTGAAGTGTGATACGAAATTGTGAGGCAGCGCGGGCCTGGCTCTTGCTTCTCTGCAGCATTGGTCCTCACCTAGCAACTTGCAGGAGCAAGTTGTTTTCATAAACAGAGGTGTTTTGGTGTTTGGGGAGCAGGCCATTAGCAAAGTCCAGCAAAGGGAGAGAACTGAAGAGAATACTCCAACCACAGAATGAAATATAGTCCTTTCCTCGGAGACGGAAGCCAAAGGGTGTGGGGCAGGGTATAAAACCTCCCCCCCATTACAGAAAAGGACACTAGAACTCAGAAGTCACACAGCCAGTTAGCAGAGTTCTGACCAGAACCATGCTCTCCTGTTCTCTTCTCCAGGATTCCCCACCCACATCCATCATAAAGTTGGTAGTTGGAAATCAACATGGCGGGAATGTTGACACTATGGAAATTGGCGAGTGCTTTTCATCAGGACCCTCCTGTCCCTCCTCTGTCTAGAGCTGGTTAGTGAACATTAACAGCCTACCACTGGTAGAGCCTAAATTGGGTCTTAAATGATTGTGGAGGAGATCTCCCCTATAGTGTGGGCGTTATTATAGACCGGGGAGACCCTGAAAAAAAATTCTTTTTGACAAACCAGATACGACAATCTGCCTCTCCATATCTTTCTTCCCTAAAACTACAACTGTAAAAATTGTCACCAGCTCAACTACTAGTGGATCGGCAATTTGCATATCCATCCATGCAGCCACTGGCTTGCCCAGAAGTTGAGCCACTTGAGGTCACATAAAAATAAAGAGATAGTGGACATGAAGTGCTTTGAAACATTCATGTGTTCAAAGGTGAGTCAGTGTAGTCCAGACGCTCTTCTGACGATGAATGATGAAACACAGGATGTCTGCTCAGGACCCAGTGACTTGGAGCAAAGTTAGAGATCTGTCCACAAACAGGCTTGGTGAGTTCTCAGGTCAGCTATCTAGAAGGCTGCCCAAACGCCTTCTGCCTCCTTCCTGCATGCTACTCAGCGTCTGAATATCCTTCCCAGTTTTGGGTGAGTCTTTGGAGGTAAAAGCCAACCCCTCCTTCCCCAAAAGCTAGTGGCGGGGCTTGTCTTCCTTTTTTCCCACGGCATTAGGTCCTGGGCATGGGTCCCAACCTTAGACAGTTGGTGGTTTTTTTTCTTTGTTCCCCCATGTTTGTTTGGTTGTTATTTGCTTGTTTTGAAAGAGAAATAGTGCGAGCAGGGGAGGGGAAGATAGAGAGAGAGAGAGAGAATCTGAAGCAAGCTCTGCACTAACAGCAGAGAGACGGGTGTGGGGCTTGAACTCACGAACCATGAGATCATAACCTGAGCCAAAGTCGGATGCTTAACCAACTGAGCCACCCAGCTGCCCCTAGCCGGTTGGTTTTTTAAAATAACTTTATTGAAATATCATTAGCATGCCATAAAATCCACCCTTTTAAGTGCTTTTTAGTATGTTTACAGAGTTATGAAACCATCACCACACTTATTTTTAGAACATTTTTGTTATCCGAAAAAGAGACCCTCTACCCA